GAGGAAGAGAGAAAGGCTACCAGGATGTCTACCCCGCTGCCTGTGCCCGAGACCCCGTTCTCTGCCTTTCCTCCTGTCAAAGTCATAAACACGCCTGGCCAAGGCCACTGCCTCACGTGCGACTACATCCCACCCTTTCTCCCCTACCCAGGGCCATCAGTCAAGCAGTTCTCTCCCTCTCTCCTGCACCTTCAGTTCTCTCTCTTCGCGATCTTCTCATTGGCATAAAAACACGCTCTGGGCGAAACCGGTTTGGTTCAGTGGATAGGGCGTCGGCCTGCGGACTGAAAGGTCCTGGGTTCGATTCCGGTCAAGGGCATGTACCTGCGTTGCGGGCACATCCCCAGTAGGAGGTGTACAGGAGGCAGCCGATCGATGTTTCTCTCTCATCGATGTTTCTAACTCTCTCTCTCTCTCGCTCTGATACAAACATGCTTTATTCCTTTGTCTAGCTACAGCTCCAACATTCTTTTATTTTTTTATTTTTTGTTAATCTCCTGAGGATAATTTTCCATTGATTTTTTTAGAAAGAGTGGAAGGAAGGGGGAGAGACACACACAGAGAGAAACATCAATGTGAGAGAGACACATTGGTTGCCTCCCACACACACCCCAATCAGGGCCATGCCCTTGACCGGAATTGAACCCGGGAACCTTCAGTCTGCGGGCCGATGCTCTATCCACTGAGAAAAACCAGCCAGGGCTCCAACATTCTTTTATAACAAAACCCTCAAGAAAAGTGACCTGTACTAAGGTCTCCAATTCTTTTCCTCCAAGCATTCCTGAATCGCTCCAGCCAGGGTTTGGCTCCACCACTAGGTCACATCTACACTTGAGGATCTCAGTGACCTCCATGTGGCTCAATCCAATAGTCCAGTGACCCACCTCATGTGACTAGAGCAGGGCTGGGCAAACTTTTTGACTCGAGGGCCACAAAGGGTTCTTAAACTGAACCGGAGGGCCGGAACAAAAGCATGGATGGAGTGTTTGTGTGAACTAATATAAATTCAAAGTAAACATCATTACATAAAAGGGTATGGTCTTTTTTTTCCCAATAGTTTTATTCATTTCAAATGGGCCGGATCCGGCCCGCAGGCCGTAGTTTGCCCACGGCTGGACTAGAGCCTCTCACTGATAATCACACCCTCTGCCTAGGTTTATTTTCTCCCCTTGGCCTCCAAGACACCCACGCTCACCATTTCCCTCCTTTCTTAGTAGCTGTTCCATCCCAGTCGCCTCTGCTGTTTCTTTCTCTCTCTTTTTTTTAAGCACTAGAGGGTCTTAGGGCTGGGTCTTTGGTCCCCTTCTCCTTTCTCTCTTCATCACTCCGTTGGTGATGGTCTCCCAAGTTTACATATCTCTCTGTTTGGACCTCCCCCCCGCCACACACACACACCCTGAGTTCAAATTCATATATTCACCTATCCTGTCAACATGTCCATTTGGAAGTCCATTAGGTACCTCAACATGTCCAAAAACAAACTCCTGATCCCCCCTTCCCCAGGTAATCTCAATAAAGGAAAACTTCATCTTGGGAGATTCTCAGATCAAAAAATCTTGCAATCATTTTTTACCTCTCCCTCCCAACACCCAATCCATCAGCAAATTCTGTCAGCTCTACCTTCAGAATATATGCAGATTCTAAACATGTCCCACCACCCCCACTGCTACCACCCTCATAAAGCTACCATCTCTCTTTTGAATCATGTAAAAAAAATCTTTTGCTTAAAATTTTTTTGAGGTGAAAGCCACATATAAAATTAACCACTTTAAATGGCACAATCCAGAGATATTTAGTACATTTGCAATACTGTGAAAGCATCATCTCTATTTAGTTCCAAAACGTTTCATCATCCCCAGAGGAGACCCCACACCCATTAAACGGTGACTGTCCATCCTTACGCCCATCCCCCCCTCCCCCCCAGTTCCTGGAATCACTAATCTGCTTTCTGCCCCTGTGGAGCTGCCTACTTTGGACATTTCGTATGAGTGGAATCACACAATATTTGACCTTTTGTATCTGCTTTCTTTTAGCATAATGTTCTTAAGGTTCATCTATATTGTAGCATCCATCAGAACTTTATGTTTTTTTTTTGTGGCCAAATAATATTCCATTGTATGGCTATACCACATTCTGTTATCCATTCATCCATTAATAGACATTTGGGTTGTTGCCACCTTTTGGCAATTCTGAATGGGGCTGCTATGACTGTTTATGTACAAGTATTTGTTTAAACATCAGTTTTCAGTTCTCCTGGGTGTATACGTAGGAGTGGAAACACTGGGTCACATGGCAATTCTATGTTTAACTTTCTGAGGAATTGCCAAAATGTTACCTCATTTCAATTATTTTAACAGCCCGTTTTTGACACAGCCACCAGCAGGACCACTTAAGGCATGAGTAAAGTTAAGCTCCTGCTGCCCTCCGTCAGTGGGTCCCCTCCCATTCAGAGAGAAACCCGAAGATCTCATTCACAATGGCCTACAGGACTGGGCTTCTGACCGCCGCCCAGACACCTTCTACCACACTTCCATGCACTCAGATTGGCCTCCTCACTGTTGTTTTTTTTTTAATATATTTTTCTTGATTTCAGAGAGGAAAGGAGAGAGAGAGAGAGAGAGAGAGAGAGAGAGAGAGACATCAATGATGAGAGAGAATCATTGATTGGCTGCCTCTTGCACTCCCTCTACTGGGGATTGAGCCCGACACTCTATCCACTGAGCCACACCAGCTAGGGCCTCACTGTTCTTTAAATGCATCAGCATGTTCCCACCTCAGAGCCTTTGCATTCATTGTTTCCTTTTTCTGGAATGCTCTACTCCTGCACCCAGGAGGCTGGCTCCCTCACTGACTACAGGTCTCTGCTGTAAGTCAGCTTCTCTGAGACGCCTTCGCTGACCAGCCTGTCTCCTTCATTCGGCTTTATTTTCTCCCAAAACACTTATCTTCATCTGACATTTCCTTCCTCCCTTCCCTCCCTCCC